TGGCAGGCACTGTGGGGTGCTGTGGGGGGGTGCAGGTGCCGTGGGGTGCCGTGGGGTGCTGTGGGGCCGTGGGTGCAGTGACGATGGGTGCTGATGGGTGCCGTGGGGGGGTTGCAGGTGCCGGGGGCCGCGGGGGGCCAGCCGGGTGCTGGGGCTGGAGCTGCACCCCCCGGGCCGGGAGCTCTACGTGGCCTTCGCCGGGTGCCTGGTGCGTCTGCCCCTCAGCCGCTGCGCCCGGCACGGAGCCTGCCGGAGGTGAGGGGGGCGTGCAAGGGTGTGCGAGGGTGTGCGAGGGCACAAGGGTGTGCAAGGACATGGGAGGGTGCAAGGACACAGAGGGTGTGAGGGCACAAGGGCGTGCAAGGGCATGGAGCATGCAAGAGCATGTGAGTTGCAAGGGCACGGGAGTTGAAAGGGCACAGGAGGGTGCAAGGGCACAAGGGATGTGCAAGGGCACAGGAGTGTGCAGGGACATGGGAGGGTGCGAGGGCACAAGGGTGTGCAAGGGCACAAGGGGCGTGCAAGGGCATGGAGCATGCAAGAGCATGTGAGTTGCAAGGGCACGGGAGTTGAAAGGGCACAGGAGGGTGCAAGGGCACAAGGGATGTGCAAGGGCACAGGAGTGTGCAGGGACATGGGAGGGTGCAAGGGCACAAGGGATGTGCAAGGGCACAAGGGACGTGCAAGGACATGGGAGGGTGTGCAGGCATGGGAGTGTGCAAGGGCACGGGGGTGTGCAGGGACACGGGAGGGTGCAAGGGCACAAATGCGTGCAAGGGTACAGGAGTGTGCAAGGACATGGGAGCCCCGTGCAAGAGCACGGGAGGGTGCTAAGGCACAGGAGCGTGCAGGGGCACGGGGCGAGCACGGGGAGGGCACGAGAGCACACAAGGGTATGGAGACGTGGGGGAGCACAAGGGAGTGCGAGGGCATGAGGGTGTGTGAGGGCACAGGGGTGTGCAAGGGCACAGGGGTGTGCAAGGGCAGGTCCCTCACCCATCTCCCCCCCCAGGAGCTGCCTGGCTGCCCGGGACCCCTACTGTGTCTGGCTGCCCCCCGGGGGCTGCGTCCCCTTCTCCGAGGACCTCCCGTGAGTGTCCCCCCTCCCTGGGGACTGTCCCCCCCCCAGTCCCCCCCCCAAGTCCCTTCTTCACAGTGGGGGGGGACACA